CGCGCACACACACCCACTACAAAAAGGATCATTCATGCATTTTTTTAAACTAATAGACTTTATTTCTTAGGTCAGTTTTAGGATTACAGAAACATTAACCAGAAGGTGTGGAGAGTTCCCATATATTCCCATTTTGTTCACTACCAATTTCCCCTATTATTAACAACTTGCTTTGGTGTGGTACATTTGTTATAATGGATCAACTAATATTGAAACTTTATTATTGACTCCGTTCCTCGCCATGTCTTCTCACAAGACTTACAGGATTAAGCGATTCCTGGCCAAGAAAAAAAAAAAAAAAAAAAAAAAAAAGAATTACAAGTGAACATTTACAAGATCTTAAAATGATATGCATAAAGATAGTTCACCAAAAATTTGAATGGTAGCAATAACTGAATCCTAGTGCTCAACTTCCAACTTCAGCAGTGATCTCGGCACTTCATAGAACTATTATATCATCCATTCCTGCTCCATACATCTCCAATGTCCCTCTGTTTCATTTCTGCCTTGCCTCCTCCTCTCAGTACCTTCCTGTGGGTCTTCTTCAAGGATGTCTCCAACTCTCACCCTAGGCTAGGTCATCTCTCCTGGTTTCTCTTTTGTTCCCATACCCCTTGTCATATCTAGAAAAGGCAGCTGACTCAAGAGTCTTACTTTGAAACTTGGGACAGCTTCTTTCTAATGTCATTTTAAGTTGAAGATGGCTTGGTTCCTTTTGTCATCCAATGCAGGTGACTAAGCTTTCGCTGTGGGAGGTTTAGGAGACTTTGAAGAGCAAAATGGTTCTTGGCTTGGAGGCTGCTGATGTCCGAAGCTCAGCATGAAGGGGAAGCCTGACATTTGTTAAGGGAAGCTTTTTTTATTTTTAGTTATTTATTTATGAGACAGAATCTCGCTCTGTCACCGAGACTGGAGTGCAGTGACATGATCTCGGCTCACTGCAACCTCCACCTCCTGTTTCAAGTGATTCTCCTGCGTCAGTCTTGCAAGTAGCTGGGATTACGGGTGCATGCCACCACACCCAGCTAATTTTTGTGTTTTTTAGTAGAAATGGGGTTTCACCATGTTGGTCAGGCTAGTCTCAAACTCCTGACATCAAGTGATCTGCCCGTCTTAGCCTCCCAAAATGCTGGGGTTACAGGTGTGAGCCACCACACCCAGCCTGAGGGAAAGGTTTTAAAAAATAATTTCAGCAGATTTTTATTTTATAAACTAATTTTTATAATACAGTTGACCCTTGAACAACACAGGTTTGAACTGGCACAAGTTCACTTATAAGCAGATCAAAAATACAGTATTGGCAGGTTTGAAAGCCACATATAGGGAGGACAGCTTTTGTATGTGCATAGATTCCTGAGGACCTAATGGGGGACTTTATTGGCAGATTTTGCTGTATGTGGATGTCCTGGAACCCATCCCTCATGTATACTGAGGAAAGATTGTAGTTTTCATTTATAAATCTCCTTTTCTTTAGAAAGCACCCTCTACATAGTCATGTTTAACACATGGTCTGATGGCTTAGGTAAACACTAGTCCTGAAAAATGGGTTACTGAGGTCATGTACAGACCATGCATCCATGTGTACAGACCAAGGATCAGGTGAATTAAGTATAACTACCTGAAGGATGGGCCATTAGGATATCCTTTTTGTATTGGATCTTATGGGGCTTTAAATGATTGCAAGAGATCAAGGCCCCTATTTTCTGTCTCATCTGGGAGATTGAGCCTCACTTACCGTACGTGCTTTGTTCTCATACCTGACAAGAAGATAAGAGAACTGAATGGTTAAACCTGGAAGGTCCTTACACATTTAAGGCCACAGAGATGATGAGCAACCCCAGATTAGGTCATGAACTCAAATGCTGGTTTCTCTTGGGTCTTGGAAATCAGGAGCACCTGTTCTTCATATCCCTGGGCTTCTGCTTTTGCCTGTGGATCCGGAGGCTGGGAGGACTCAAAGGACATTCCAGATGAGGGTGTAGAACCAAATATGTGCGGACCCTTTCCTGCAACTAGTAGATGTTCTCCTTATGGAAATTTGCTTTGGCATTTTCCCATATCTGCTTTACAGTATCCTAAATATTAAATCCTATTTCTCTTATGCTTGGCACATATGAGGTTCTCAATCAGAAAGTTCTTACCTTTTGTTTTCCTAATTTCAACTTACCTCCTTAATTCAGCCTCCACCTTCCAATAATGTTTTCTTTCTTTGATATTCTCTTTCCCCATCTTTTCAGGTAAGAACTCCACTTTATGAAAGCTCTGTTACCATCAGTATCACCATTAATCTTTTCCCTTCGAGAGTAATGTATTTTCAACCATTCTCAAAGGACTTGCTTAGAGCATTCCAATGTGATTTTCTGATGGGATATTACGTGCTCTGACAGCCTACACAGTAAAAATGTGATTAGCCTCACAAAACGTCAGTTCTCACCAGCCTTACCCATCCTTGCCAGTGACACCTCCCCCTTATTTGTCTAATCACACTTACTACCTCCCGCTCACTTATCGTTAAGAAGCAAGATCACATGGCTCAACTAGCAACACGCATGTTCATTACAACCAAGGAGATGAGGTTTTCTATAAAATCAAAACAAGTATATACAGAATATGGAGAAGAAGGGCAGGCCTACCCTGATTTCTTTAAAAACAGGACATGTGGACTGATGTGTCTTTTGTTGATCAATTCTTAATTTGTTGTTTTCACTAGCTATGTCCTGTTCCTATTTTGAGGCTGAGTTATTAATTTTATAGCTAATGTCAACAGTTGTCACTTTTTTTATTCCCTTTAGAATTATTGCCAGTGAGTTTAGGGTTTTTCTTCTTCATTTATTTTACTTTATTTTTTGTGTTTTGGGTGATCTACCTAATTAAGTTGTGTTGTTTCTAACCTCTTCGTTTATTTTTCTACTACTCTCCAGCCCCTGGCAACATCTCAAGTTAGATACCATCCTTACACTGAATGAATTTCCACTTTCACTGCAAATTAGTAATGAAGACATTAAGTAGAATCCCGATAGTGACCCTTTCAAGAGCTAAGGCATCATTTACCATTCTGTTTTAATTATGGTCTCTTAGCAAATATTCACCAGTTATAATGTTCACCCTGTTTTCCAAGTAATGTTTCTCAAATACCGTATGAAATTATAAAATCTGTGTGTATATTTTCTGCTCTTCATTATGTGCAAAATTTATAATTCTATAATTTTCTTATAGGAAAAATGCTTATTAGACTGGAATGGTTAATTTTATTTCAAGCCATCCTGCTTTTTGCTTATTGTGAACCATTAGACATTTATGTAATCTTTTTATTTGATTTCATTCCTAACCCCCACTATCAGTTCCCCAAGCAGTAATCCTACTCCATCCCTTGCCTCCACAGTCAGTTATCATCTATGCTTTATGTATGTGTGTGTTGCGGGGCCAGGTGGGGGTTGTTAAATGGATACTTTTTCTGGTCCCTAATATTTTCACTTTTAAAAACTCGAAATGACTGAGAAAAAAATAGCCACTGTCATTTGATGATATCTTAGTCTATTTGGGCTGCTGTAACAAATAGACTTAGTAACTTACAAACAGCAGAAATTTGTTACAGTTTTGGATGCTGGGAAGATCAAGATCAGGTTCCAGCAGATTTGATGTCTGCAGAGGGCCTTCTTCTCCACAGGTGGTCCCTTTTCACTGTAACTTCACGTGGTAGAAAGGGCTAACTAGCTCTCTAGTGTCTCTTTTTATTTTGTAATTATTATTATTGGTGTTTTCTTTTTCGGGGAAGGATAAGGTCTCATTGTGTTGCCTAGGCTGGAGTGGAGTGGCACAGTCTCAGCCCTCTACAGCCTTAACCTCCCAGGCTCAAGCCATTCTCCCGCCACAGCTTCCTGAGTAGCTGCGATCACAGGTGTGCGCCACCACACCCAGGTAATTTCTGTATTTTTTGTAGAGACATAGTTTATCCTGGTCATGAACTCCTGAGCTCAAGTGATCTGCCCAACTTGGCATCCCAAAGTGCTAGAATTACAGGCATGAGCCACCACGCCTGGCCTAGGGTCTCTTTTTATAAGGGCACTAATCCCATTCACAAGTACTCATAATCAATTCTCAAAGTCCCCACCTTCTAATACTATCACATTGGGGATTAGGATTCAGTGTCTTTTTGGGGAGATATAAATATTTAGACCATAAAGATGATTTTTTTCTCTTTTCTGTTCAGGTAAGTCTGCCTCCTTACGATATTGCACCTCTTCTCTGGAATGCTTCTCCACCTTAAACCTCTTGTCCCTGTACAGTGTGAAGCTGCTTTTGCTTCCTTAACATCTAGCCTGTGCCTGGGGTCTATGATAGCCCTATGTGATCTCTATTGAAACTCTTGTACTTGGATAAGAGCTGAGTTGGCTGCTTTATAGCAACAGAAGACCAATGAAAAGTGTTCTTTGTTTAGGTCATGGAAGAAGAACAGATGTCCCAGACAGGTGGGAGGTGAAAGTCAAAGTTATTAAACAGGTAGGGAAAGCCACAAACAGATTATTTGATACTGGCTACTCCTGCTAAAGTACCATCTTTCTGTTGTGGTTTCTAGGGTGTTTCCCCTTGGGCTTTCAGAGTGACTGTGCCAGTGTTGTAAATTAAAATGCTGTCTCATCTCATATCCCAGGATTCTTGAGATTACTGGGCTAGAATCGGAGTACTAGTTCCTGTCCTAGACCTTCTAAGAGACAAAGAAATTAGTGATGTTTCCAAATGGAAATGTCCACATGGAAGTAATGTGGTACACATGATAGGGTATCTTCTGCATACAAAACAAAAGACTCCGACTCAAATTGACAAAAACAGTAAGGAAGTATATTATCTCATGTGAGAAGTAGGGCAGATGGCAGGATTGGTTGATTCAGTGGCACAGTGACATCAAGGAAATAGGGTCCTTTCATCTCTCTGCCTCTGATGTCCTCAGGGACCATTCCAGTCTGAGACTGCTTCTTTTCTTATTTTCTTATTTTCTTCAGCAGTTTAGATGTCACTTGCAGACAAGACAATATCTACAGCACATAAAATGGGTCTGCTGTCCCCATTCCAAGGTCTCCATCTGAAGAATATGAAATTATTTCTAAGAAGAATCCCAGAGGACTTCTCAACTCACTGATCAGAACTGGTTCGTGTGCTCGTCTGTCAATGTCACTAGCAAAGGACCACCATCATTGCCTGAGGGAGGGAGGAGGTGAACTTGAACAAAATTAGGATTCTGTTGGCAAGAAAGAAGTATGTATACATATGTTTGGGGGATGGGGTAGGAAGCTAGATGTTGGCAAGCGGTGTGGTCTACTACTTGTTGTGACTTGGAAAATAACCTCGAAATTCCCCTCGTGACTATCTAGATACAAAAAGGCAAGGCCTAGGCAAGAGAAAAGCCACAATGCAGACTAATTAAGGACAGAGAAATGTGCCAAAATCAATAATTATTCTGATTGGAACAACAATAAACTCTAATGAACTTGAATGTACTAATTTATATCTATTTGTATTCAATAAGTGTATGATCTCTACTAAATAAAAAATTAAAATAATTTGCTTATTTCTCAGTAATTCTACATTTCTGGCATATTATTTTGCAGTATAAGCTATTTGAATATAAAATTTTTATTAACTTTATATATCATAGCATTAACAATACTGATAATTACTGATGAATGTAAACGGCCATTATTTATTGAGTACCCTTTTACAAATTAGGATTTTAGCATTCAAGAGGAGCTAGTAATTTGCTTAGGTCACAGAGCTACAAAGTGGCTAAGCTGGGATTGGACTCAGATTCAACTTGCCCTCCATGGTTTCCCTTTGCTTGGAAGACAATCCTAAGACTACCATGGCTTACAGGGCGTTAGGGTAATCAGGCCTGCTTATCTCTGTGACCTCATCACTTACCCTCTGGCCCTCACTTAATTTTCCAACCATACTGCCATGTTGTTAGTCTAATGAACCAGCCTCATTCCCACCTCTGGTTCTTTGCCCTTGCTGTTTCCTCCACTTGGATCACACATCTTTGGTTTGTATGGCAACATCCTTTCCATTCAGGCCTTGGACTGTTTCCTCTTTATAGGTGCCTCCCAGGACTACCCCATTTTTTTTTTTTTTTTTGAAATGGAGTCTCGCTCTATCACCCAGGCTGGAGTGCACTGTCACAATTTTGGCTCACTACAACCTCTGCCTCCCAGGTTCAAGCAATTCTCCTGCCTTAGGCCTCTCTAGTAGCTAGGATTACAGGCCCCCACCACCATGCCTGGCTAATTTTTGTATTTTTAGTAGAGACAGGGTTTCACCACGTTGGCCAGGCTGATCTTAAACTCCTGACCTCAGGTGATTTGACTGCCTCAGCCTCCCAAAGTGCTAGGATTGCAGGCACGAGCCACTGCACCGAGCTTCACAATCTTATATAATTTGCTAATTTGTCTACTTGTTTTTATCTGCCTACCCTACTAGAATATAAACTCCATGAAGGTAGAGACCCTAGCTGTTTTGTAAGACAAATGAACAAACAAGTGAATAAGTTAATGAAGAAATGAATATTTCGAAGTTTTGACCTCTAATAATCCAGTCTGTATCTTCTACTCTAGGAATAAAGTAGGATGCCAATTGTCATGAGTTGAATATGTCCCTCTCAGATTTTTTTCCTATAAAATTTGAAAACTAAAAAAAAAAAACCACTCATCATTTTATTTGAGGATGAAAAAAATACAGATATCAAAGTTCTTTGATATAGTAGTATTATGTAAAGTTGTCTCAAGAGAGCTTAGTGCAGATAGTCCTTGACTTAATGACGGTTTGACTTTTTTTGACTTTATGACGGTACCCATACAACCATTCTGCTTTTCACTTTCAGCATAGTGTTCAATAAGTTACATGAGATGTTCAACACTTTATTATAAAATAGATTTGCCCCATGATAGGCTAAAATAGTTTTGCCCCATGGTAGGCTAATATAAGTGTTTTGAGCATGTTTGAGGCAGGCTAAGCTAAACTATGATGTTCTAGGTGTATCAAAGCATTTTTGTATACGATATTTTCAACTTATGTTGGGTTCATAAAGACATAGCCCCCTTGTAAGTTGAGGAGCATTTGTACAAGAGGGAAATTTGAGTAATACTCAACTTTATTTCTTTTAATTGATTGCAGTTTTAAGGATGCCACTTTTAATTTGACATATCTTTTAAACATGAAGGTACTTATAAGACTAAATTGCAAACTGGGAGGATTATAATTGCTTGATCATTTGCAGTAACAAATTCATTTAAAAAATAAAATTGTTTTCTTTGTATACAATACACATAACTTTTCATTTTAACTCATAACAGTAGTACCCCCTTGTCTGCAGGGGATGTGTTCTAAGAACCACAGTGGATGCCTGAAACTATTAATTAATTAGTTATTAATAAAACCTATATGTACTATGTTTTTTCTATACATACATACCTATGATAAAGTTTAATATATAAATTAGGTACAGTAGAGATTAACAACAGTAACTAATAATAAAGTAGAACAATTATATCAGTATGCCAGCTTTACTACTCTTAGGGCCATTATTAAGTCAAGTAAGGGTTCCTTGAACACAAGTGCTACAATATGGCAACAGTTGATCTGTTAATGTAGAGTATGTGACTGACAGGCGGGGAGTGTAGATGCACTGGACAAAGGAAGGATGCATGTCCAGGCGAGATGGAGTGGGCCAGTGTGAGATTTCATCATGCCACTCAGAATGGTGCACAGTTTAAAACTTACGAATTCTTTGTTTCTGGAATTTTCCATTTTATATTTTCAGGCCATGGTTGACCAAGGATAACTGCAACTGCAGAAAGTGAACCCACGGATAAAGAGGGGGGTACTGTGTCCACTAAAATGATTTATTCTTAGAACTGTGCTCTTAGTGATTCTGAGGTCATCATAAAAGTACAAGTTGAAAAATAGCTTTACCTCAGATATTAGCTTGGAAGGGGTTGACAAAAATGAAACAGAATGCCTTCCTTCAAAGTCTTTTTCTCTGGCTTTGAGCTCAGGACGTTCTCCACTCAAGTGTGTGCTTTTGTGTTTTTTTTCCTTCCCTGTCATTCTGTGGGTTGTTGTGTCATTTGCCAAGTACCTTGGTAGGCATTATTTTCTGGAGCTTGCAGTGTGACTTTCCCATTCAGCCAAATAAATCATCATTTATCATTGACAAGAACTTCACTTTCCCCTCCTCCCTGCTCATCTTCCCTCAACCTTTCCCCAGATGACTTCAAAGCTCTGTTGTCTCTGCATGTGGTGTCAGTCTAAACCTACTTGACATCGTTTTCTAGTCCTTGGGTGTTCCCTCTACAGAAAAACTTGTTAGAGTAGCTTACTATGAAATACACCTCTGAGCTAAATTTCCTGTATCATATTTTCAAAAACATATCTAAATTTTATAGTAAAGTAATCTATATTTGAAAGTAATTTCTCAAATTTATTTATTTTTAACTGACAAATAATAATTGTACATATTTATAGGGTACATAGTGATGTTTCAGTATGTACAATGTGTAGTGATCAGATCAGGGTAATTAGCATATGTATCATCGCAAACATTTATCATTTCTTTGTGTTGGGAACATTTAATATACCTCTTCTAGCTATCTGAAACTATATAATATATCATTGTTAACCATAGTCATTCTACAGTGCTATAAAACACTAGAACTTGTTCCTCCTACATAGTTGGAATTTTATATCCTTTAACAAATTTCTCTCTAACCCCAACTTCCTCCTACCCTTTCTAACCTCTAGTAATCGCTGTTCTGCTTTTTATTTCTGTGAGATAAACTCTTTTAGCTTCTACTCATGAATGAGAACATATAGTATTTAGCTTTCTGTTCCTGGCTTATTTTACTTAACACAATGTCCTCCATTTCCATCCATGTTGCTACGAAATGACAGAATTTCATTCTTTTTTATGGCTGGATAGTATTCCATTGTGTATATATGCTACACTTTTTAAACCCATTCATCCATTAATGGACACTTAGGTTGATTCCATATTTGGCTATTGCGAATAGTACTATAATAAACATGGGGCTGCAGATATCCCTTCAGTATATTAACTTCCTTTCCTTTGGATAAATTCCCAATTGTGGGATTGCTGAATCATATGGTAGTTCTGTTTTTAATTTTTTGAGGAATCTCTATACTGCTCTCAATAATGGCTATACTAGTTTACATTCTCACCAGCAGTATATAAGATTGTCTTTTTGATAGCAGCCATTCTATCTGGGGTGACTTATCTCATTGTGGTTTTAATTTGAATTTCTATAGCAGTGATGCTGAGCATTTTTCCATATACTTGTTGGCTTGTTTTTAAAATGGATTATTTGATTTTTTGCTATTGAGTTGTTTGAGTTCTCTGTATATTCTGGATATTAATCCCTTATCAGATGAATAGTTTGCAGATATTCTATTCTTCAGGTTATTGCTTCACTGTTGATTTTTTTCCTTTGCTATGAAGAAGAATTTTAGTTTTATATAATCCCATTTACTTATTTTTGCATTAGCTGCCTGTATTTTTGAGTTCTTACTCATAAAATCTGTTCGCAGACCAATGTCCTGAAGCATTTCCTCTATGTTTCCTTCCAGTTGTTTTATAGTTTTGGGTCTTACAATTAGGCCTTTAATCCATTTTGAGTTGATTTTTGTATAGGGTGAGAGGTAGCATCCAGTTTCATTCTTCTGCATATGGATATCCATTGCTTCTAGCACCATTTATTGAAGAAACAGTCCTTTCCCCAATGGTTGTTCTCGGCACCTTTGTCAAAAATCAGTTGGCCTTATATACATGGATTAATTAATTTCTGGGGATTTTGTTCTGTTCCATTGGTCTGTATGTGAGAGTAATTCATCCAGATTGTGTTTATGTTATGCATTAGAGACAAGTCAAAAAAAGAAAGGAAGCGGATGTTATGATGTTTGCATCATACTTTCTTCTTACAGATCCTGGCAGGGATCCCTTTCCTCTTCGCTTAATAACCTGGGTAGATTTGGGTGTGTAATTGTGTGAGAATTCATCAGGATCCAGGTGAAAATGAGATCAGTAATTAAAGGGTTGGGTCAATATGTTATTATTATTTAAGTTAAATGGGTGCATGGTCT